CCAAATTACTTCATATCAATGTAATAAAACACAAAGGAAAACAAATTGATAGTGTAAAAAGAAAAAATATTTTACTTCTTATGAAGTTCAATAAGTAGAACAAATTAGGTAAACTTATTAAAATTATCGAACAAACTTTTTTTCGAATCAAAGCAATATACTTATTAACAACTCTAAAATTGCATTCTGAAGTCAAACACTTCCATGTTGGTATTGTACATCTATAGCCTTTCTTTAGTGAAAAAAGTTGCCTTATTACTGCTGAAAAAGGCTCTGCATAGCATTTATAATAATAATAATAATAATAATAATAATTAGCATTAGCACCACACTACACAGTACATGAAACTAAAGTGGGAGACAACAATTTTATCAATAATATAATATAATAAATTAAGTAGCTATGCTTGGAATCTGCAGCTTGCTAATTAGTAGTGTTTTGAAAATTTTAATTACCTTTTGAAAATGTAAAAATATTGTTGAATTAATGTATGTTAGTAGTAATTATAAAAGTTACTGTCTAGAAACAAAGCCTATAAATGGATGACACCTGTCTTTGTTTGATGATTCAAAAACAAAGAAACTTTTGCCATTAAAAAGATACTTCTTTAATTAGTAGACAAATCAAATCCTTTTAACTTTCTTAATATTCATGATTAAGCTTTTTATTTTTAGTTTTTTTTATTATTTTTGATTTATTAATTAAAAATTGACAACTCATTCCCAACTCTCTCACCCTTTGTGTTTCTTTAATTTCAGGCCAGCAATCAACTCACTCTTTGATTTAATATACTCCTAGTTAAAGTGTTTGTTTAATTAATTGCATCCTCTGAATCATTCCCTTTTTTTTTTATTTACCAAAACTTCAGGAAATCATTAATGGGTGATTATTTTAAATGAAATAATGTTGCACATCGACATATAATTCAATATTTTTAGGAAAAAAATATTCAATGTACAAGGCTCAACTAAAAAAAAAAAAAAAAAACTCATTTTTGGAGGCTTTTAAGAATCAAAATAACACTGGGGATGCACAACAAGGGTAGTCATCCTCTTGACTCATTAAATTGATGAAAACAACTATGATTGAGAGGACTCAAACTCGAGACCTCCCACTCTTTACATAAGTGAAAAAACTAACCAGACTACCACCTGATTGGCAAAAAAAAAAAAAAAAACACTCATTTGATTATGAATATGATTTTTTTAAAGGCACAATGTAAATATGATTATGAACTAAAAGATAGCGGAAATATTATTGGATGAATGTTTGTAGACATAGGGTTCATTATCATGGATGGGGTCCAAAGGCATTATTTGATACTATAGGACCCACAATGGATCTCGATGAATGCAAATTTTCTTATCATCAGATGGTGACAAGCACTAATAATAAACTGCAATTTGAATTGTGGGGATGCTTCTTTTGGACATGACAAGATTTGCTCGATCTTCACTTCAATTCCTCATATGCATTATCTTTCAACACATATTCTTCTCTTGCGAACTTCATCTATATATATATATTTTTTTTTCTTGTAATTTTTGTGTGTATATCTCATTTCATCGTATTGCAAAGTCCAAATTAATTTGAAGTATTGAAAAAAGAAGTTGCTCTAAATATGATGAGACTGCAAATAAGACATTTTTCATAAACTATATAACACCAACCATGGTGGAGGCTGTGAAAGGCCCCAGTTGAAAATTAAAGAGTTGAATCCAAATTACTTTTTTTTAATATAATTATTTTTTTAAAAAAAATTATCATTAATGAGTTGTCTTGTTTTCTAGAATGATTTTGGTTATGATGAACATACACACAGAAGAACAAAAGTTAAAGCAAGTTCTCAAGAAGCAATAATTTCCATAATAAGCAACTATTGTTTAAATTCGAGAAATCAGCATTCTTTTTTGGATAGTTGACTTATAACATTCACAAAATTCAAGTTATGATTTGCAATCACCGAAGAAAAATAATTCATTTTAGGTATAAGAACATACTCATAATTGCTGTAACTGTGCAAAACATTTCCATCATAATATTTACCATTTCTCTTCTACACAATTCCTTTACTATACATAACAAAAATTATAAAATTATAAATAAATACACTGTCTATAAAATGAAAATTCAATTTTTAATATTTAAAAATGTGTTCTGAAACTGCATTACACTTTTGAAATTGACATAAGGCAAAAGAATCAAAAAGAAAAAGAAAGAAAGTCTCCTTTTAAATCGTAACTCATACACAGCTTTTTTTTTTTCTTTTTTTTTTTTTCCCCTCAACTCACTCCAAATTACAGATCTTTAAAATGCATGCATCCATCGCATCCACTCAGCATCAAATCAAGCCAAACATGATTGCCAGCTAGATGGAGGTGGACCCACCAAGGCAACGTCAATGTCCCATTTTTGTCAAGACAAAACTTTGCATAATCCCTACTTTACCCTTGCTCCAAATATGAATGATACTGTCATTCAGTTTCTGAAATGCCACGTCAGCCCGATGGACCAGTGTTAGACCATTGGGTGCTGCAGCACCTGATCAGCGTGGATTATGGGGCGCTCGTGCACTGTTTTTGTTTGCTTCTTAAATCGAATATATTTATTGTTCCGTTCCGTGTCGACTGATAAAAAAAAAAATTCTTAAACCCACTTTCAAACTTCAACGAGCCGCTTATTAGCTACACTCTCACTCACGTGTCTTCGACCACTAACTCTCTGCCACGTCATGTATGCCAAGCATGACCTTTTTTTTTTTTTTGAAATGCCTATAATAGTGTTGAAGAAAATTCAATATTGTAATATTTCATAATTGATAATAGCAAATTCTCAAAAAAAAAAAAAAAAACGAGCCCGACCTTATTTAGCTACACTCCTCACTCACGTGTCTTCGTACCACTTAAACTCTTTCTGCCACGTAAATAGATATGTCTCATAGAGACAATGTAACATATTTTTTTTTATAAATTTAGAAATAGAGACTCATATACTAAAATCAGTGATTTGATAGGAAATATATTACGCAGATATATACTTAACTTATTATATCTTAATTAACTTTAAGAATAACTCCAGAGCTAAATTCTTTGCAAATAGAATATCATAATATCTAAAAGTATAACAAGCCATATTATAATGCAAACAAAAGATTTATGCAAGGCCTTAAATTTATGTTGTAGATATTGTATAGATTTGTATGTCTAAAGAATGTGTCGATATCCATCTTATATACGAACTTATTAATTATACTATCTGAACACTATAAATTATCTTTTATAATCGATATTATAGTAATAAGTACATCTGTATGAAATTAACAACTCTAATAATATAGTAAATGTTTTAATGTAAGAACTATATGATATTATTAAGAAATAATCACATTAATGTAGAGTAATTTTCCTTTATTGAATAAATACAAACCATAAAAATATTTTTTTTCTAATAACATAAAAAGATTTTAAAAGGAGAAACCCTTAGTTACAATAATAATATTTATATCTCAATTAGATATATAAATATATATTTAATATCAAAACTGTTAAAATATTCGCAAACCATAAGTCTCTCTCTAGAAAAAATCTTATATAAAATTCTGAAGTTTAATTTTGTGAAACTAATGTATACTAAAAATTAATACTGAAAAAACTTTTATTGGTTACAAAACAATAAATGAATTCAAATTTAAGGAAAAATAAAGTCATGGAAAAAAAAAAAAAAAAGATATTAGCAAACAAAGTAAATATATGTGTATATTTGTTAATTTTGTTGTTAAAGGTCGTTTCAAATACGAAGTAATTATATTACTTTTATATCGTATTTGATTATTTAGAAAAAAACATTAATATGTAATGTTTTTTATATGTAGAAATATATGTTATTTAAGAAAATCATTTGTAATAATTTTTTTGATAAAAAAATTTTCATAAAGATTTAAGGGACTTGTTAATTATAATTCCATAGTTTATATATTTAATATAAATTAAAATCAATGTCTCTCTAGAAAAATCATTAAAATTCTGAAGTTTTAATTTTGTGAAACTAATTATACTTAAAATAATACTGAAATTTTATTGTTACAAACAATAAATGAATTCAAATTTAAGAAAAATAAAGTCAGATCACGTTAAAATATTGTTTATTTTAATTTTAAATTTTAATTAAAAGTAAATGTAATAACAGTTAATGAAATTCCAATATAACATATCTTTGATTAGTCTATTATAAGAATGTTCTCATATAACAACCATCGTATTAGCTATTAATTTAAAATTACACTATGCCTTTATAAATATATGAACAATAATTATATTTCATCTAAAAAAATTTTATTTAACATTTTATTATCAACTAGATGCTATATTTATGTTTAAAAACCAATAATAACATTTAGTTTATTGTCGGAATTCGAACATATAATGCTGTACCCAAATAATTTAATAAATATATTTTATATCTAAATTTAAATTTTTATATCTTAATTTTTATTAAAATATTTTTAATGTTTATTATAATTTATTTGTAGATAAATAATTTAAAAATTTACAATGTTCAAATTTATTTTAACAAATATAGTTCGAAAATTTATAAATTGTAATTGAGATATTACACCTTTTTAAAAAAAAAATGATAATAATGTTACAAAATAAAATATTCTATTTAATTTTATTTATCTATATGGTCAAATAAAAATTTATGATTTTGAAATGGCTATTTCATTTAGTGGAGAAATTTTTATTGTGCTAATAATTTATTTAATCATTTGACTAACCAAATGGTTATTGTTTTTTATACAAATGTGTTATTTATTATTATGTATTGACATTTATATTTTTATATTTATTCACAAATTAATTTCAATTAATAGGAAATTAAAACAAAACAATGGTTACAAAATTTTTAAAGCATTTTAGAATCCTAAGTGGCATAATTTAACTTTTCCAAATCCTACGTTGCACTATCAAAATTTAAGTAATTCCACTTGGCACTTTGTGGGGAAAAAAATGTTTGCTTTATATTGATATATATTGATGTATTTAACACAAACACATTGTGCAATCAATGAAAATATGATTTGCAGTTTCTTACATGAAAAATGTTCAAGTATATGGTCTATACTTATAACACAAAATGGCACACTCTATATATGTATATATTGAATCACCAAATAACATGTTCTTTGGTGGAAGTTTATTCCTGCTCAAAAATATTCAAAATGCCAAATTAAATAATTTATGACATGCAATCTTAACTTGAAGCTGGAATTGTAATTAATTTGAAATACTAAGTATAAGGTATGGGTAGTGGTTGAGGCAGCTGTTGCACCGGTGGCATGTTAAGCAGAATGGTCGGTTTGTTGGTCAGATTTGACGGCCTCCTTTTCCTTTCTCTTTCCCTTCCTTGCATGCTTAGTATCTGGTCTGTATGCATGATGTTCAAAAATGTCAGAGATGTCCAAATGTACACCAGGATCATTGGTGTTGTAGGAGCCACCAATCATGATGGAGTTGTTGATTGCTTGGAAATTGCTGTTGACATAGGTTCCCAGTGCTTCAGGCTCATCGCCGGAAAGCCCTTGGGGATTATAATTGGGTTTATCATCCAACTCGCTTCGCATTGTGGCTCCAGTGTTTGTTCCAGCAAGCGTGATGATTCTGACACCATGCTCGTCATCCTCGCCCTGCTGCTGGTGGTGGTGGGATACCCCTGACTTTTGCAGATCACTAACACGAGATGTAATTGCATTCACCATGTCTCTGACTTCCCGATCAAGTGCTTTATGTTTGTCTCCGTCGAAGGAGGATGAGGAGTAGGTTGGCTTTGCTGTTTCAGGAACCATGTTTTTCCTTCTTTTATTTTTCTCTTTGGAGACAGAGAGCAGAGACTATGCAAGAAAATATGGTAGGTCTTGCATCAAATTTAAGGAGGAGGAAATGCAATTAGAGTAATTAAAGGGAAGGGAATAACTTGGGAGAATGAAAAAGATTAAAGCATTACTTGGCAAAGAGTTCTCCCATATTTTCTTCTTTTGTCAGTAGGACTCTTGTCCTTCTAAATTTAATGTTTGCCAATTGCCATATGTAAGGGACCCACGCTTAAGAAAGTGTAATTGTTGCGTGTTGTGCGGACGCCGGGAGGGAGAGTGAGGATGCAAAGCAAGTTAAAAATCTGAAAAATGGGGTCTACATATATTTTATGTTTGTCCAACCCAACCTTATATAAAGACACTGCATGGATGGAACGTTCTGCTACTTGAAAAGCAAGCCATCAGCTCCGACTCTCTTGTCTCTCTCTCACCCGTTCCCCTCCCCTCCTTTTTCTTTTATTTTTATTGTATTTCCTATAATTTTCCTCAATTTCTCTAATTATTTGTATTCTCACTGCACTATAAAGAAATAATTACACTTACTGCAGTTACAGAATTTATTTTTACACTTTCTTAGGCCTCTTTTAGTTAAAAATGATAAATTTTCTAGAAAGTATAAGAAAATTATTTTTGGAAAAATATAATTTGAATGTGTTTAGCATTCAAATTAACTTCCTGCAGAATAAATTGCTTTCAAATTATAAAAGATTGTTCCCAGGTATTATTTTCTAACATGATAGTTTGATTGTTCCTAAGCATTATTTTCTTCTTTTCAAACAAAAGATAGTTTGAAAAGAAGAAAGACAATATTAAAAAAAAAATATATCAAGAAAAAGAAATGATTGTTGATAGTTTGAAAAGGGTAAGGAAAAATATCAAATAAAAGAAATATAGATATTATTTTCTACTGCAAAATTGCATTGTCTAGTGTAAAATTGATTTTAATTATTTTCCTCCTTTATTATTTTCTTTCAATTTCTTTCCAAACAAAGCCTTACATTCATATGCTCTTTTTCTTTTATTTTTTATTTAAAAGAATAAAGTAAATAATCAGAAATTTTTATTTATCAAATTAAAAAAAAATAAATAACACCTACGATTTCAGAATAATTAGGATTTTAAGTTAATCTAAAGCATTAATTTGGACTGTATACTACTCAAAAACCAAGTATAAAGTATATATTGTACAATGATATGATTTATAATGTATAGTCTTAATCCAATAATGCAGCACACGTGCATGTCATAAAGTTGATGTTGAGTCCTTGATTGTACAATATAAAGACCAAAGGAGCAAGTAAAGCTTCTGTAATTCTAAGAGCTACCAAACAATATGCATTGTATTGGCTATAGGTACTTCCATCTATCAAAAATCACAGTTATAGATAGCTTGCCCACCACTCAGATTTGAATTAATTAAAACCACGCTGGGATCTACTTACACTGTGTTTGGGAATGACTGATTTTGAGGAAGAAAAGAAAATATGGGTGCAAACTGTTTTGAAATTGTCACTTTTCCTCGTTTGGAACAAGTGAGAAAATATGGGACGAAAGAAAATTTTCAATATTTTTCTCTTGGGCCCGCTATTTTCAAATTTGAGAGAAAATGATAAAAATAGAGGGAAAATTCTACTGTTTGTAAGAAAGTGCAAAAATTGGAAAAGATCGAATTGGAATCAATGAGTTTCAATTTTAAATTAAATTTTGAGCCAATCCATATCATTCAATTCATATTGAATTGATAAAATCAACTGTTCATACAAGTTCTAGTAAGAAAAAAAAGAAATTCAGGGATTTAATGGGCAAAACTTAATAAATTCAGGGACTTGTTAAGATAATATAATAAATATAAATGAAAACTGAAATGCCCAAAAAAAAAAAAAAAAAAAAAACTTCAGGGAACTTGTTAAGAAAATATAATAAAATATAATGAAAACTGAAATGCCCAAAAAAAAAAAAAAAAAAACCTTAGCCTTTCGATTACTATTTTTTTTTTCTTCTCTTACTTAAAAAAGACTAGATTTTGTTAGTAATGGCATTATTAAGCAATTCAAGTTGCAAAATTAATTCTAATAAAAATGCTTAATAATATTAAATTGATTAAACATTAAAAAAAAAAAAAAAAAAAAAACCTTAGCCTTTCGATTACTATTTTTTTTTCTTCTCTTAACTAAAAAAGACTAGATTTTGTTAAGTAATGGCATTATTAAGCAATTCAAGTTGCAAAATTATTCTAATAAATGCTTATAATATTAAATTGATTAAACATTAAACGAATAGTTAATAATATTAAAATTATGCACATCATGACATAGTCTAACGATAAATACATGTACGACTTGGCAATAGACTGAGATTCGAATTTTCCTCCTCAATACTCAAAAAAAAAAAAGGAAAATTATTACTTTGTGTCCACAAATAAGTGTCATAATTGCACTTTTTTCATCCATTAAAAAGTCATTTAATTTGTCTAATTTGTAATAAATTATAAATTATTGAATAAATGACCATATTATCTCTTATTTACAATGAAGAGAGATTTTCGAGAAGTATAACAATTATATAATGTCCGTCATTTCGAAAGAGTAAAAATAAAAAAATATATATCATTTCTAAAATTCATAAGTGTGACACTTATTTATGAACATGATACTTATTAGATCGAAATCCACATACAAGGATAAAACATTAAAATTCAGATGCAATACATCAAGTTATTTGGCCTTCGATACTTTAATATATAACTTTGGATTTATTGAAAAAAAAAAAAAGATAATTTCTAATAAAAACTAAAATTAGAATGATATAAATTATTTGGATAAGGAGAAGACATAATTAACTGTATATTAATATTAAATTGTTTAGCGTATTGAATGCATTTCAGGAGAAAATTTGGGCTTTATATGCATGCAAAGGAAGGGCATGCTTGTTATTAAAGACTGTGTATTCGTTTTATAATACTGTTGACATCCAAGACAGTAGTTCTACTGTTTGACATGCAGTGCAGGCACTTTAATGCTTTGCGTGATTGTTAAGTTCACTATTTCGCAGCTAAGTATAAACTCAGTCTCATGTACTTACTTAAACAAAAGCACACTCTCTTCTCTTCATCTTTTTAGCTCGTACCTCAAGAAAGATATTTGTGCTGTGCTCGTTAACCCTATCACCACCATTAAGTGATTTACAAGCAATTCTTTTAGGTAATTGCGGTTCAAATCTTCTTATTATTGTCTAAATATTAATGGGATTGTTCTACTCCCGATAAAACGCGCAGGGAACAAAGCTTTCTACATCCAAATTAAGAGAACAAACGTCTTAAATTTGTAATATTTAATTCAATTTCGAAATAGACGTGATTATTCCATGATTTAAACCAAATCATTATAAGTTAACTGGATAAGGAGAAGACATAATTACTCACTAAGCATAAAACACACCGAATCAAATTTAATAAGTGAACTCGACAATAAGAGTTTTTACTAATTTACTGAGTAAGGAAAGGACAATCTTTATTATGTATTCTATAATATTTTTTCAACCTATTAAGTCTCTTAACGAGTGAAAATATAGAGAAAATTGAATTTTTTTTTTTTTTTAAAAAAAAAAAGACAAATGGCATTGAATATAAGGGCAATACTAATAATAGAAGCGAAACATGAAGCTCCACTACTAAGAGGAGTACTAATGATGAAGAAGTTAATTAAGAAATTTAGCAAAGCTGAAAGGAAGGCAAAAGGCAAGGTAATAAATGATAAAGAAGGTATCTGTAAGTAATTGAAAAAGATGGCAGTAGTTATTTGGTACGGTTTTAAGCTACGTGTCTATCAATATCAGAAGTTCTTAATATCACATGGGACTTCATATTCGTGTTCAAAATAGCGTTTAATGGATGGAGATTAAATGGGGTCCACCTCTCTTACACTTTCATGTAGTCAAGTACTTACTACTCCATAGTGCTGAGACAATTCTTCAATTATTGAGATTGTGTTTAATTGCAATCTGTAAGGACACATATGGGAAGAAAGAAAAAAATTAAATACAGCTACTGCAAGAAGGGGTAAGAATGCTTCGGTTAAGCCCATCGAGTTCATCCAATTGAATCAATTTAGTTTGATTTTTAACATATGCAATTTGATTTCAGTTTTCATAGAACAAATCGAAAGTTTTTGGCCCGATTTAGTTTTACAAATCCCAAAAAATAAACTCAAACTATTACAACTAGCTCAAAACCAACCAAATCAAATTGGTTTAATTCAATTCGTATCGATTTTCACCATATTCAGTTTCATTTGATGTTCGTTTGTTCTGATCTATACATTGACTTTAATCAATAAAATCAAATTAAATTCATTTATCAGTTGGATTAATTTTCAAAATTGGAAATTAACTCTTGCTTAATGTTGCGAGTCAACACTACTTCATTATAGTCATGAAACACAAAACTTATAATAAATAAAACAAATAAACTAGTGGCACAGCTAAGATTAAAGACAAAGAGGACAAAATTTTTATTTTCAAAAGTTAGATGGAGCTAAATTAAAAAATACACTATTTTAAGAGATAATATTGAAAATTTTTCAAAATTTAGGAGTGATTTTTGAAAAAAAAATTTGCTGAGGGTGCGAGTCACCCTGGCCCCTACCTCCCTCCCTCATTGAAACAAAACATAAACACAATGTTTACATGATTAACCCTCACTAAGGCTACATTCACATGTAATTTCATCATTTACTATGACACTATAATAATAATAATTACATTATCTTAAGCAACTTAAAAATAATTACACTGCATGCTTATGACACAAAAACCATAAATTCCAATTACATTCAAAATACATGTAAAGACAGTAACAAAGCTTCAAGATAAACTGAATCCTAGGTTAGAGAGAATTTGGTAAAATGAACATAATTCTGTTCGATTTGTATTAAAGAAATAGAAAACAAATTGTTTTATTTGTGCAACTCCAAAAATAATCACTCTGCTAAAATTACAACACATTAGCTAAACTACTATTTACCTACCTACCCTTGCATAATTTATTTATACAATTAAAACCCCCT